AACACTGAATAAAATACCTAGCTATCAAGCAAATTATTTACCTATCTACCTACCTACCTACCTACCTACCTACCTACCTGCCTACCTACCTACCTATCTACTCACTTACCTACCTACCTGCCTACCTACCTACCTACCTACCGACCTACCTACCTACCTACCAGAAGCTCTGGTAAGGAAATAATGTGGATGCACCGATAGCCCAGTATGTGCCATGCAGAGCTATGGTACAGATTGCCCTAAGTAAGTATTATTTGTAAGAAACAAGTTCTTAAATCTACTGAAAAGACACAGCAGACGAAATGTCTCGTTTTTAATTATTTTTTTCCTACAACCGTATTTAAGATGTTATCAAATTAATTAGTGGGCCTCTTTTAATAGTTTGTTTTTAACCATGGGTAATTTGTGGAGTTTTCAAGGTACCTAAACATCTACTTACCTATCTATCTATTTATCTATCTATCTATCTATCTATTAATCTATCTATCTATCTATCTATCTATCTATTAATCTATCTATCTATCTATCTATCTATCTATCTATCTATCTAAACTACGACAAGATATCGTGACTCACATCCAACTCCATCATGACGGAGAAGATCTCCTGAATCTTCTGTCTGGTCATTCGCTTGACAAAGTCGTACCTTTGGCCAATGGTCTTGATGATCACCTTCCTGGTGTCCACAGAGAACTTCCTCAAGTCGTCCGCCCTGTTTGGAAAAAGTGTGAGGCGTCATGGTGAAATCAGGCGCTCGTCAAAAAAATGAAATCGAAGAAACAGGCATTTTTTATCGTGTTTTCTTTCACTTTTTATATCCATTAAAAAAAATGCCACTTGAATTTTACTGAAAAACGTTGATTAAAGACACAGCATGTAAAGTTTTCTATTTTCAAAGACTCTCAAGCTATGGAAATTACCCCGTTTTGGTAGCCATTTTATCTTTAGTTTTACCTCAGAAACCAGGCTATCCCTACCTCTTTCAAAATTCTTCGACTTCTATTCAAGATTGATGGGTAATATTTTAAACTGAAAACAAGACAAATGAAAATGCTTTAAGGCTATACCAATAACTCCACACGCCCAAACATTGACCATCACCACCACCACCACCATCATCATCATCATTGACAAGCGCCTGATTCCACCACGTCATAACGTATAATATTATAGTTTCGTTAGTGTTAGCAAAGAGTCTACATAACAAGAGGGTCCACTCCTCTCTTTGAGGCAATTAAAAAAGTGTCCTCAAAATTCGGTGGCGCCCTCTTCGCAATTGCGCACCCTTTGCGAACAGAATTACCCTACTTGTGTTAAAACAATCAAAGTGAAACTAACAAGTTTTTGAATAAATAAACATTCAAATTTCGGATCAAATTTCGGAAGAACGCTTTTAAAAAAATGGTTACGCTGACAAAAACCTCTTCTGGATGAAGGGGTGACTCTTTTCTTCGTTTAATTTGACTTTAGAATGAAAGGCGAGAATTAAAAAAACAACTAAATCTAAAACTCCGCACTGAACGAACCCGAACAGCTGATGAACAGAAGTTGATCTTTGCACGCAAGGAGTTGCTATTCCTATTTTTCTTCTGGAGAAACGAAAGAGAGCTTCAAAACAGACTGCAGCGCCATCTGAAGCAAAAAGCGGACTTCCTGCGGACACTTTTTGGCTGAGTGGACCATCTTGTTATGTACTATCTTTGTGTTAGTTAACCCTTGTATTACACGGACAAGCATAAAGGAGCAGCGTTTCCAACAATAATCTCCAACAAAATCACTTAGAGAAAAAAAGTCTCTCAAACATCATAAAAGACATTGGAATTGGAATTTAGTTTTGTTTGCATTCTTCTGCTTTTTTATTTATTGTTTTTTCGGGGGGGGGG